ACGTATCACCATATGAGCCAATAGCGCATGTTACATATCCAAGTATCAGAAATGGGAACAAGGGCGTGATTTGCGCCAGTAGCCCTGTGCAGGGTGCCTCGCAAATCGGATGCGAATCGTGGTCTCCTCCCATATGTGTGTGTACATATATATATATATACATATATATATATATATAAATATTTATGGATTCCTTTTCGAAAGTTCTTATAAGGGACCCCCCCAGTACATAACTTCGGCCCTTTGAGCCCTATGAGCCCTATAAGCCCTACGAGCCCTATGAGCTCTCTGAGCCGTGTGAGCCCTGTTAGCCCTATGAGCCCTCTGAGCCGTATGAGCCCTATGAGCCCTATGAGCCCTATGAATCTTCCGAACCCTGCGAGCCCTATGAGCCCCCTGGGCCCTCTGAGCCCTATGAGCCGTATGAGCCCTGTGAGCCCTATGACCCCTATGAGCCCTATGAGCGGTATGGGCCCTACGAGCCCTATGAGCCCTATGAGCCCGGTGAGCCCGGTGAGACCTATGAGCCGTATGAGCCCTATGAGTTTTCTGAGCTTTTGAGCCCCATGAGCCCTCGGAGCCCTATGAGCCCTGTAAGCCCTATGAGCCCTATGAGCCCTATGAGCACTTATATTAGCCCTACGAGCCCTATGAGCCCGATGAGCCCTGTAAGCCCTGTTCGCCCCATGAACCCTATGAGCCCTATGAGCCCTCGGAGCCCTATGAGCCATATGATCCCTATGAGCCCTATGAGCGGTATGGGCCCTACGAGCCCTACGAGTCCTATGAGCCTGGTGAACCCAGTGAGACCTATGAGCCCTGTAGGCACTATGAGCCCTATGAGCTCTCTGATCCCTTTGAGCCATATGATCCCTAGGAGCCCTCTAAACCCTATGAGCCCTATGAGTTCCACGAGCGCGATGAGTCCTATGTGCCCTATAATTCCTACGAGCCCTAAGAGCTCGACAAGCACTACGGGCCCTATGAGACCTATGTGCCTTCTGAGTCTTATGAGCCTCATGAACCCTATGAGCCCTATGCGTCCTATGTGCACCATGAGTCCCTATAAGCCCTATGACCCCTATGATACCTATGAGCCGTATGAGCCCCATGAGCCCTATAGGCACTATGAGCTCTAGGAGGCCCATGGGCTCTATGAGCCCTCTAGCCCTATCAGCCCTATGAGCCCTCTGAGCCCTATGAGTCCTATGAGCCCCATGAGCCCGACGTTTCCCACGAGCCCTATTAGCCCTACGATCCCTACGAGCCCGAGGCGCCCTATGAGAATTTATGAGCCCTATATGCCCTATGAGCTCTATGAGCCTTTGAGCCCTACAAGCCAATGTGCCCTATGAGCCCTATATGCCCTATGAGCCCTATGAGCGTATGAGCCGTATGATTTTAATGGCGAAGCGCAGCGAACCAGTAATCTTGTGTGTAGCATCTGTATATATATATATACATATATATATGTACATGTAGCTGTGTGTGTCTTACGTATTATACACGTATACATCGAAAATTGTATATAGGTCGTGTAGGGGTGGTCCACGTGCGACTCTACTAGGGCGTTGGTACTCCTCGCGGTCGGACCATATCCAATGGGGCGGCTCGGGGCATTCCGAGCGGGACCTGGGACCGCGGGACTTTGCAGCATGATATTTTCCAAATTGGGCCAGTGTAGGGTGGGGCCTAATATCTTAGTGTCCTGCTTTGCGTTTCAAGACAACATGACTTCAAGCATTCGTTTGGGCACGATGGGGCAAGACCAGCGTATGCCAGCACCAACCCGAGGCATCGCTGGGACATCGCGGTATAGCCTTAACCAGCATAGCAAGGAGGAGGAGGAGAAGGATAAGGATGAGGAGAGGGAGGAGAGCAAGGAGAGAGCGGGGGAGGCGGGAGGAGCGTGGGAGTGGAGGGGATTGATATAGTGATGATTGTGATTATGCTGATAGTCCAGCGCTGCCGTTCGTGCATTGCTGCAACGTCCCACAACATAATGACCCATTTGCAAAGGATCATGGGCGCCATGTTGCTCATTTGACACATGTGCGAGATCTCGGCAACATGTCGTTGGAGGTCCTCGTCCGCATCTGTCCTAAACGTTTTTGGGTTTCTGAACGCCGAGTGGGTGTGCGCAAGATACCAGTACAAGTGAACATTTGGCGTTAGTTTCTATATCTTCTCATTGTTGTCACGGCTCGCCCTGCTGAGGGCGATGTCGGCAGAACGCAACAGAGCCGAGCTGCGAGCCAATCGTTTCCACTGTGCTGACGTCAACACGTCGGACCCGTTTTCCACTATGTCGTAAATGCCATTCGCATCCCTGCTACCAGCAACCGTCTCTTGTCATTGGTGCTCCCAGAATTGTGTTTTCGTGCAAGGTGAAGCCCGAACCTGCTCATATGCCGAGTTGTCGCTGCTTTGGCCTTCAGCATTGGCCAACCCTATGGTGTTTTGATGCGTTCATATGCTAGTGCACCTTGAATAGTGGAGGATTTGATCTCGTTGGGCTTGTCGCCATACCAACATTTGAGCTCACGTGTCATGGGTTCTGCATGCTGCTTTTTAATTGGATATGTAGTAGCCTGTCCTCATGTCATCGACCGTGATGCTTGCGATGCCGTTGCTTGCAACCCCCTGCTACAATCGTGACCCCTTCCAGCCGAAGGCCAACGCTACGGAAAAACGGCGAAGGTTGTTTCCCGCATCTGCAAGTTTTTTCAGGATACTCTCATGCGACCTCACGGTGCATCTGAAGGGGGCGTTTGGCGATGTGTTTGTCCAACGAAGCCGTTCATCAGTTAGGGTCGCCCTGCAGAGCCAACAGCAATTGCCTGTATCCCATCGTGACACGCCCAAGTAGTTCGAAAATAATTCCCTGTCGTCCCTGCGTTGAATGCAGCTTGCCTTCCAGCCTCCTGCAACAATAGACTGACCTCCACTATCCAACCGACGTCGTTTCCAATCATGCGTCGGGGTAACACCACTCGAAAGAACATTCAGTGCCCAGGCAACATATGAGAATCTGGCATCGACCGTGCCTGGACCGGTGTCCGATTTCGGATGCATGTGAATACCAGCCTGGTCTCCAACGTTGTCCCCCCAGAAGGCAGAAGCGAATCCCACGAAAGAGTAAGCAACCCGTCATGCTTTGTCATCGGCGCTCCATCTGCATGCAATCCTACGAGACTATTTTTGGGCATGTCCGCTGATGTTAAGGCCGGATGCCTGTCTGCGATCGGTTGGCTTTCTAACGATTCTCAAAAGGCCAGGCAGACAGTACCATTACCTTCTTTGGAATGCTTGTCCCAGAATGGCCTTCGATGTTGAACGAGTCGCTGGGAAGTTAGCACGGGGCAAATGACAGGATGGTTGTTTTAGCCTCCCTTCTGGACCGATCGGAATATCAATCCATGTGATGTTTGGTGCATGCTCAGGCCAGCCCAAAGCTGAAATCACGGCTCGATGGGCTGTCCTTTGGTTCTACATCTCTGGGACTTCGATAGCGTTTGTCGCGCTTTGGCTCGAAGCTGCATGACAATATTCAACTAGACGATTAGAGGGAACTTCCCCCTTTGCCCAATCGCTTGAGCCCTACCCTGCGCGACTGGAGCTCTCAGCACGGACTCGTTTGTGAAGGCTCCCAGGATGCTTTCCATCAGAAGCGTTGGCGAACCTCGGGATGAAGGGGGTTCGCAGACTCGTCGCTTCAAGCTGCCCTTCCGACCCTCCTACCTTGAGATGGCGATCCCATCATTTGCTGCATTGAGTGCTAGGCAACATGAATCAATCGCGACAGGTATGATCATATGGACACCTATGGAAACATGGATGCAATGCACATCGGGCCGAAACGGTTGCGGATGTGCGGGAGGCGGAATCGGGGCAGGAGGTCGACAAGGAAGGAACGAGGACTGATTGTCTCTTCTGCTGTTCTTGTTTTTTTTGGGGGGGAGGGGGGTGGGGCTTCTGATGCAGATTGGGGTGCGTCTGATTCTGACGGGGTCACCTTCTCGATGTAGATTCTGAATGCCACTTCTGCGCTTCCTAAACTAGCCCCGTTCCCCCTCGTAGGCATCGTGGCTCGTGCCCCCAGTTTTGATCTCAATCTGATTTTTGTATATGCTGTTACTTCTTGACCTCGGTCCCGTTGTTGTACGCGTCGTTTTTTTGACCCCCATGCGATATGTTTCAACATGTTCTAAACCAGTTTAGAACATTACCTGCTTGCGCACACGCAGGGGACTCTTTCTCAAAGCGCAGGTGCACCTAACATTGTGTTTGAAGGCATCTAGGCTCCAGAAACGCGAAGCCTTGAGGTCACTGTTGCACGCTTCGGTCCCACGGCTTCGCATTGCTCACGGGTGACATCATCATCGTCGTTCTTGCCGTTATCCGTGTCCGTATTCTTGTCAGATACTTCGCATGTTGGGTCGTCCGTTGTATTTTCTGATTTTGTTTCGATGCGCTGCTGCGTAGCGCCACCCTGTATCTAGCAGACGCAGAGCACCTGCCGCAAGCTGATCGCGCTGCCTGGCCCAACAGAACATCTCAGGCCAAGTAGCCCCCCGATGGCTGGCTTAAGGGGCGAGGCAATCGAGTTCACCTCTTCGTCGTCTTCTTCTCGGTGATGAGGCGTTTGGCCCAGTCCACAATGCCGTCGTAGGTCAAGTTAGCCTCGTCCACCTGCTTGGAGACCGCCAAGCTCACTGCGTCATCCAGGTCGTTACCGCCCTTGGCCAGGAACATCCTCTGCATGGTTTTGATGGCCTTGGTCATCTTTGGTATCGCTTTGCTCGCATCGTCGTTGAGGGACTGCACGTACTTGTCCGTCTGAGGTTTCTCGTAGATCTCTTTGAGATTCATGAGGCGATTGCCCTGAGCACGTATCTCGTTCTTGATGCTTGCCTTGATCTTATCGAACGTGGCTTGTGAGGATTCGGCGACTCGGAGGGCTTCTCTTCGTTCTCGCTCTCCCTCTTCACGTCCACGAG